CAGACTGACCGTGAACCCAAGACCCGTCTTTTACCAAATTGTCCTGTGCTAAGGAAGTTCTGCTCATTGACTTATACGTGAGCTGATGAATGATTAAGTGTGGGACTTCTTTCATACCTGCTATAATTGTCTTGTTCTCCTGTGTTTCTCTTTAGGGTGGATTCGCCAAATGTTATGAGATGACAGATTTGACAACAAATAAAGTTTATGCTGCAAAAATCATTCCCCACAGCAGAGTAGCAAAACCTCATCAGAGAGTAAAGGTGTGTGTGCCTGATTTATTTTTTTTCCTCCTCAAACTGTGTGCTGGATTGCCAACCCCTTTTCCTGAAATGGCTCTGGTGGAGCTGTCTGCTCAGCCTGTGGATGCGCAGCTAATGACACTTCCCCACCCTTGTCTCTTCAGATTGACAAAGAGATTGAGCTGCACAGAACACTTAATCATAGACATGTTGTGCAGTTTTATCACTACTTTGAAGACAGAGAGAATATTTACATTCTTCTGGAGTACTGCAGTAGAAGGGTGAGCATCAAATGTGTGAAATTCAGTATTTACCTGGAATCTGCAAGTAATTTAAATATGTGATGTGTTAAAGGTGTTTTTTGTGGCTTCTTCAGTTCTTTCTCCATGCATTGATTTACTTTTGTTTGAAGTGAATCTTGTGCTTGTTTTTTGGGTACATTCCTGCTTTTGTTTTTCTTCTGCAGTCAATGGCTCACATCTTAAAAGCAAGGAAGGTATTGACAGAACCAGAAGTACGATATTACCTCAGGCAAATTGTGTCAGGGCTAAAGTATCTTCATGAACAGGAAATCTTGCACAGGGATCTTAAACTTGGTAAGTTCTGCACCTCACCGACTGCAAAACACCTCCAGTCCTGTCAGCATTGTACCACTTTACATTTGTACAGTGGTAGCTTAATTAGTAGAATCGGCTCAGTCTGTCTTTACAGTGGAAACTTGGAGTGCTTGAAGGATGACATTAAGCATTCCTACTTGGAAAAAAAAAATTGACTAGTGTCTGGCTTTGAATAAAGTATGAGTCAGCACCTGTGGCAAATGCATTCCAACCTTGCAAGAAGGGGACTAACTAGAATTTGTGTCTGCTAGGTAACTTCTTCATCAATGAGAACATGGAACTGAAACTGGGTGACTTTGGCTTAGCAGCTAGGCTGCAACCACTGGAGCACAGGAGGAGGTAGGAGCATCAAAAAAAAAAAAAAAAATTAAAGTCTAGTAGTAAATGAGAACAAATTGATTCAGAAATGAGAAATCCTATTCCACAGCAAAAGCTAATTGCTTGTGGTATCAAGATTTTCCGTGCTAGAAAACAGGCTGCTGTGCTTTGACTTCTGCTTTCCTCTGAGCACTTGATTAACAGCAAATACCAGGGGCAGGGTACTTTACTGACAAATAGTGCAGCTATAAGTCTGCTGTTTCTGTATCATGAACACAGTGAAACACTTGTACACTAGTAATGTTCATACAACTCCTCTTTAGGAGTCTCTAAGCTCTTGTCTGAACTTGAGAGAAAAACCTGCCCTGTGAAAAATAGCTTGTCTACTCTTTTTATCTGAAATACTAACTGGTTCTGTGGCCTCTTTGATTTACAGAACAATATGTGGCACACCAAATTACCTCTCTCCAGAAGTCCTCAACAAACAAGGGCATGGCTGTGAATCTGACATCTGGGCCTTAGGCTGTGTAATGTAAGTACTTTGCTGCCTTTGAAATTAAATCTTTCTATCACTGGCTTAGACTTTTAAGAGTTCAAAGGGGATGTTGTACTGTATCAGTTTGCAGCCCTTTATACATGTGTGGCCCAAGTGTTGAAATTCTCCTTCGCATTGGGAGACGGACAAAGCCTTTTCAGTACTTGTAGATAAGTATTGTGGGTGTGTGTGGAGAAAAAAAAAAAGACCCCACACAATTGGTTTCCTTTGGTTTTAAACAGGTATACAATGCTGTTGGGAAGACCCCCATTTGAGACCACAAACCTTAAAGAAACATACAGATGTATAAGGGAAGCAAGATACAGCCTGCCTTCATCTCTCCTGGCACCTGCAAAACACTTAATAGCTAGCATGTTGTCAAAAAATCCTGAAGACCGGCCCAGTTTAGATGAAATAATTCGACATGAGTTTTTCTTACAGGTTTGTACTGTCTAGTCTTTTGGCTGAAAAAGTATCCACCTTGAAAATGGACTCTGGTCTAAAAATTGTTTTTTATATCATTTCCACAGGGCTTTACACCTGACAGACTTTCTGCTAGCTGTTGTCACACTGCTCCAGATTTCCATTTGTCAAGTCCTGCTAAAAATTTCTTCAAAAAAGCAGCTGCTGCTCTCTTCGGTGGTAAAAAAGATAAAGCCAGATACTTCGACGCACATAGTAAGTGGATTGTAGCTACACTTGGAACTTGTCTCTATGCCATTAATGGCTTGCTAGTAATGTACAGCTGTGAGTTAGCAATGGAGCACTTGTGTTTGTCTGAGAGCTGCCTCAGGTCAGACTTCTTCATCAGTAACTATAGATGGCAGCCTGAAACCTATGCCAACTTGGGTAAATAAACGCTTCTTATGGCCTGCTTACAATCTATATTGGCCATTTGTTAGTCTGTAATGTCTATTTGTGTTTGGGGTCTTAGTAATGTGTATAATGGCACCTCTGTTGTGGGTGACTCTGGCAGGTTTAGGTGAAGTTCCTGGAAGGGGACAGTGTGCTTTCTGCAGCTGACTTGTTAGGCTTTCTGTAATTGAAGAGTGCTTCCCGATGCAACTTTAAAATTTTTTCCTGTATAACAGACAGACTAACTAAAGAAGATGAAGAAATCTACAAGCTCAGGCATGATTTGAAGAAGATGTCAATAACCCCGCAGCCCCACAAACACAGAACAGATGAGGTAAATGCAAGTGTAGTTCAATTCAAAATCCAATAATGGTTGGGTGGAGTAGCTATAATCAATTATATTTGACTTGAATATCAGAGCTGGGCCTGTACACAGCATAATCGAGCTTAGATGATTAGCAGAGATGCTTTAAGAGGGCTTAACCAAGCTTCACCAAAGTGTGGTAGCCTTTGTAGGCCAACTATCAATTTTGGCTTTTGAGTAATTATAGTATCTACCTAGACTCCATTGTCACCTGTGTGGTAACTCGTCTGTCAGGTGCTCTTTCCCAATGTTCCAAATACAGAACTTCATGATTAACTAGGACTTCTTAAAGAATAAATTGCTGAGATTTAACTCTTAGTATTTGGTGTTCAGACCTGTATGCAGCTGTTCTCCTGCTACAGCAGGAGAGCAGAAGACTGATAATAACACAAGATGCAAATTGAAGATCTAAAGTATGGAAAGACCTGGCATGCTTCTTAAGCTCAGTATAGCAGAAGCTCTTTATACTTGCTGGAAACATTAATACCAGTTTCCCTAGAATTATCACTTGTTGAAAAACAGGAGAGCCATGCAAAACTTGTGTGTAAACCTTGGCTTGTGTTATGCTTGATGTCTGTCTGACATTTCTTCTAGGAGATCCAACCTCTTACCACAGCAGTAGCAGAGCCAGGAGCATTGCCAGAAACTAAGCAGGCTGGAGACGCTATTCGGATGATAGTCAGAGGAACTTTGGGGAGCTGCAGCAGTAGCAGTGAATGTAAGTGCAGCAAAATGTAATCTCTAATTCTAAATCTCACTTTTACTTTCTTCATCTCAGAAGCTTGAAATAAATAGCTGCATTCCACTACACCGTCTTATTTTTGATGCTCTAAATTTTACAGCCAATGTTTTGGAAGCGTTAAAGCTGGAAAGCCATAAAGGCTAAAATTTGAATTACAAATAGATAACCGAAAGGTTTAGAATGAAAGCCTGCTCTCAGTGTTCTTACGAGTCTAATAATCCTTCTCTTTCAGGTCTGGAAGACAGTACCATGGGAAGTGTTGCTGATACAGTTGCAAGGGTATTGCGAGGATGTCTGGAGAAAATGCCAGAAGCAGACAGCATTCCCAAAGAGCAGCTGACAGCATCCTTCCAGTGGGTCACAAAATGGGTGGACTACTCCAACAAGTATGGCTTTGGGTACCAGCTGTCGGATCACACTGTTAGTGTCCTTTTCAACAATGGGACACATATGAGCCTTCTGCCAGACAAAAAGTAAGAATGATTACAAAACTGACAGCTCACTAAGGTTTAAACATGAAGCCCTCTTATTTCATCTCTAACCACCTTTCTTTCTGCTGTTACAGGACAGTCCACTACTATGCTGAGCTAGGCCAGTGCTCTGTCTTCTCCACTACAGAGGCTCCTGAACAGTTCATTAGCCAAGTAACTGTACTGAAGTATTTCTCTCACTACATGGAAGAGAACCTCATGGATGTAAGTTCATCTCTTTCTGGATCTTGAGCTCTAAAAATATACTAAATGTGTACTGAGTGCTTAAAATAACATCTGTTCCCTTTCCTAGGGAGGAGATCTACCCAGCCTAACAGATGTACGCAGGCCCAGGCTTTACCTTTTACAGTGGCTTAAATCTGATAAAGCATTAATGATGCTCTTCAATGATGGCACATTTCAAGTAAGTTTGGTCACATCACCAGAGAAAATGTTTCTAAAATACTTCATTGCAATAAAACTGGATAAGTCTCACACTGAGAAGAGAAAGTATACAAACAGGAACTTGCTTCTGTTTTACAGGTGAACTTCTACCATGATCACACAAAAATCATCATTTGTAATCAGAGTGAGGAGTATCTTCTTACCTACATTAATGAAGAGAGGATATCCACAACGTTTCATCTGACAACTCTTCTGGTTTCTGGGTGCTCCTTGGAACTAAAACACAGAATGGAATATGCTCTGAACATGCTGCTGCAGCGATGTAATTGAAGGGGCTGGCTCTGTTAAACCAGAGTGGACCCATTTGTTCACTGTGAAATGGACAGTGGGGATAGTGGAGCAACAAACAGTGGGGATAGTGGAGCAACTAGTATGTTGATGGTGGATGTGTAGTGGTACGAAAACTTGACTGTCATAGTGTGCTGGGCACACATCAATTAGAAGCCTAAGCCTACTGTTGGACTAAAACAGTGTGACAAGGAGATATTTGGACCATAGTTTTCTTTGTTTCATGTGTATGTTAAAGGTATTTTTGACTTGGAACTCTAGGCAGTGTTACTGCTCGCTCTGTAAGAGAGCGTTTCTGATGGAGTTAAACTGTGAATGCACGTCTGGAAAGGGAGGGAAGGGGTGGCTCCATTAGCTGTAATGAGCAGCTTCCGGCTGCTTAACTGTGAACTATGGCCATACTCTTTTTTTTTTTTCCCTAATTTTTAAACAATACCACACTTGTGGCTGGCAAAGTGCATTCCTTGTTAATAATTTTTTTTATTTATTACAGCCTAGAGTGAAGTATTTATTACACAACTTTTTTTTGGATCTTGACATTTTAAATAAGAATGTCGGCAATAAAGAGAAATGGAAACCTAAGGCATCATGCCACTCTTCTTTCAGTACAGTGTAACATGTTTTGCATTACCAGATGTCTTGTAGGTCTGCTTTCTTTATGCCATTTTTAAAGTCTGCATGTCAGGATTGGACTGACAGGCTCTAACACTGAGCAGTTTGTCTGTGTCTACACACGCTTGTAGGTACAAGCACCACTATGCTACAGTTAATTACAGCAACAACCCTAAAGCAGCTGCTGATAGAGCTTGCAGAGTAATGATGTAGGCCTTGCCACTTGGTTGTCCTATGGGCTAAAAACAAAAGTATGGATCTTTTCAAGATACTGTGTCCAAATACTAGTGAGGTTTTACACAGACTGCAAAGAAATTCCTTCCAGATGATGGCTGGTGGAGAACAGCTATGATAGCAAGCTCTATAAGTTATTCCTCTTATTTGTGGAAGCATTGTTCTTACCAAGGGACTGAAGTATCCTGACAGCTCAATGGCAAAATGTATTTTACCATTTTATAAAATACATATTGCTGTCCTTCCACCCTTCATTAAATGGTAACTGCAGTAAAGGAAAATCAAAATACTAGAAGATTGAAGGCTGACTTTGAATAAACTCAAAGTCAATAATACCAAGTTGATAAAATCAGACAAGCACAAGTGTTACAAAGACTGAATATCATCTGTGATTTACTTTAACTTCTATGTAAAGGAGCTCATAACAACTGAAAACATAGGAATGGCCTAATGCTTAGTGCAATCCCACTGCTCGTACATGTACACTTACTAGACCATTTGCTTTCCTAAACTGAAGGCAATTGTCATTTGTCAGTTGAACTATGAAAACAGATGGGATAATTGAGGACTGATGACTTCAGTGCAGTGGGACAATATCTAATTGTGGGCTGGGCTTCTTTCTAGATCCTAAGTAGCACCTGGACCTGCGTAAACACCTAGCAATCCTCAAGCAACTGTTCTGCTGCAGCAACAAGCAGTAGTTCAATTGCTTATTTGGATTAATCTTCATATAACTGAGTGAGTTCTGTTTTGGAAGGCAGACATCAGTTCCCATCAGTGTTTCCATCAAAGCAGCTGAATGCAAGAAGCAGGCAGTCAATGTAATAAATTGCAGACTAAACAAAAGTGCAGATGTCAACCCAAACTAGTGAGCAGAGGAGGGATCACTGGCTTGCTTCATCATGCATCAAGTGTGTATAAACGTGATTGTTTTCCTTGAATTGAATACTATGCGTTAGGTAATATTTATTTACTTCTCAAGTCTAGACAGGAAGACATAATTGAGTTCTTCGTATGGATTCATTAATGTAACTCTAGGCAGTTCAGTGAAGTTAAATATATACTTGCTATAGTGAGCAGAATTCAGCTTCCCAGATGTCTACTTTCTTCAAATTAGTTTGATTGATTTTATTCCTGGGAGGCTATGACTTACCTCATTCTGCTGCACACACACAGCCACTGTTGAGCCCTTTTTTTTTCAAAAAGCAAGACCTCACTTTTTTTTATGGCACCAATAAACATACAGTTTGTGTCTATTTGAAACATAAAAAATACTTGAGATATAGTACCTAACTTCTTCAAATGGAAAAACTGTCTGCATGCTGAAGTAAAGCTGCTAGAATTTCTTTCAAGTATCAAAATTATCTTTCTATGGCTGAAATTCAGCCTGATGTAAGCAAATAAATTGACTTCCAACTGCAGGATGTTTAAGAGAGGTATAAAGGCCCCAAATCCTACTGTAGGATGATGATTGGTTCTGGACAGTTGTAATGCACCTCACTCAAATACAGTTATGTGAATTAGTTGTTTGAATGCAATGTGTTTATGTGGTACCAAGATGCTTGGTGCTTTCTAAATCCTGTATCTTTCTGGTTAGTGCTCTGTATCCTTACATCATTTTTTATTTTCATAGTGCAAAATAAGAGAGGTGTTTAGATCATGTTAGGAAGTACCCTTTTCAAAACACACTACCTTAGTAGTCCCTCAGCCCAAGAAGGGAAAGCTGCTCTAATATTTGTAGTATAAGTACTTGCATCAGGAAAAAAAATTCTTAAATTCTTTCCCAGGGCAGATCCTGTCTTAGACATGACACTGTAGTGCACTAATTGACCTTCTTTACCAAATCATGTAACATCACTGTTGTAATTCTGCATATAGGAAGAGTAATATTAGAAAAGTACTTGTCCACGCCTCTCTATAACGAATGTCTTGCCTTCTCTTGAAAGAAAGTTTTGTCATCTGGATTTTATGCTTCTCAGGCAGTGATCATAATCATCTATACTGAAAACAAGAGCAAACACAGCATAAGACTTTAGCTTAGGAGCATATGTACTTGAATGAAAATGGGGGGATTAAAGGATTAGGTGAAAGTCAGCACAGAGGTTTTACAGGTATGAGTAGTGGACACAGGGAATAACGTTGCCAAGAAAAAAGAAATCTTTTGTACACTTATCAAAACATCTTCATCAAATCTTAAAGTACATTTTTTTTTCAAATATACATCCAAACTTGCACAGGCCAGTGTGCTTAACCTACCAGTAGCAAACAAGTCAAGGAAACAACTGAAATAGGTCATGCTTCAACATTAACATAATGCATTACGCAGTGATGCCTCTAGTCATCAAGTGTCCTAGGGCATTCTGTAATCCATTTAAGGATTGTTCCTTTAAGAATTGAACATTTAAGGTGTTCTGAAATTATTCCATTTCATTAATTAACTTCATATATTGTATATGAATAAAAAAAAATTGAGAGTTTGGGTTCTATGCTACTCTGTAATATTGAACAAACTTTCTGACATTGGCAAGGTTACTTAGGAAACTAGAGAAAGTTTCAGTCACTTTAAAGCTATTTCATTACTTCTGAAAGTAGTCAGATTGGAGAATGATCCCTCAGCTGCCCACCAATAACTGTGAATTTCCTGCCTGATTAGATTGATTACTGGATTCTAAATGTAAAAGTTAATTTAAGGAAAAAAAAAAAAAAAAAGAAAAGAAAAAGGTTCTTATACATAATTATGAACTAAATGCATTCCTAAGGAATTAACCAGAATCATGCATGACATAGTAGCTTTATTTTTGTTCTATTTTTGTACTCTTTATGCCTTATTAACATCAAAAGTGACAGACGTGCCTTTGAATTGCTACAATGTTAGACCAATACATACAAACTGAGAGGTTAAACAAATTTAAATATACAGTATTTGAAACAAATATAGTTTAGCAGTGTTTGAAAGGCACAATAGAATTTAAAGATTTAGCCTCTGAGATTTGTCACTGTAAACTAACTTCAGTAAGGAAGGAAAATTGATTTGAAAGATTCTGTCATACTGACGTAGAATTAGGCTAAGTTGGAAACCATTGCTGTTTTTTTTCTCTGCCATGAAATCATGGGGGAAAAAATATTTAACACTGTCAGAATCATGTAGGTGTGATATGAACAAGAGTAAGGTATTATCTAGATTGACCATTAACTGCTCTTTTTTACTTACTATTTGAAGAAACACCTTACACCGTCATGATGGGAACATAAAAGATTTAAGGAAATCAAAAGTACATTGCACAGCAGCATTATTGGTCCCCAAGTAAGGAGTTACTAAACAATTTTTCTTTAAAGGTTAAAAAGCAATGAAGTACCTTACAGTTGCCTCCATGAAGGATTCTAAGTGGAAAAACTAATTAACTCTGCAGCACCTTGCCAGAATATAGTGCTGCCTTTGTGGCAAGCCAGAAATGAAGAGTACTCCATGCCCTGCCTCCCTTACGTGTCTTGAATGTTTCTGAAAATGACTGGTTATTTTTTCATTGACAATTTCAAAAGTCAGATAAAGCAAAGGGTGGAACAAGTATGCTCCCTGAGCAAATGTAGATGTGAATATTTCTCCATACACTGAGAATCTTGGGCAGAGGTGGACAAAAGAAAGTGGGGTGAACTGGTAGCCAGCCCAAAGCTCAAAACATGCATGATGCTCTTTCTCCTCACCAATCCTTCCCAATGACCTCAGCAAAACCTTTGTAGTCTTCTCATCAGAGAACAACACCAGTCTCTCTGCTGACCTGTTAGATTTATTCCAGAGAAATACTCATATTCTGATGGTGGACATTGAATGGATAAATAGTTCAGAATTTTTTCTTTGTAATTCAACCATTTTAAAAAAAAAAAAAAAAAAAAAAAAAGTTAGATGCTTGTTCCACAGCATATTTAGCGCTTTACTACTATTATTTTTAGAGGTCCCCGATAATCCCTTTTTCCCCTTTGTAGAGATCTCATTTCTACTCTCACTGTGATTTTTTTTTTTTTTTTTTTCTCAAGATCTTTCCCTGTGGAATAGACACCAGCTCATTTAAAATATTTACCTGTATTAAAGGTCTTTGGGTCTGGTAACCTGTTACACAGCTATGTCTTCTCAGACAAAG